ATTGTGTACCTATTTTAACATTGTGTACCTATTTTAACATTATGTGTTATTCATTTTGGTAGCAAGTATCTTTCAATTCCAGAAATTAACAAGATCAAATTTCTTTGCTTCCAGACTAAGACATTCGTGTTTAAAATATAATCAAGTCCCTGCTATCAGAGTTATTAATAACAGAAATGTACATAACAGCTTGTTTCATAAAGTTTGTTTTTTACATTCCATGTAAGCAAGAGCAGAAAACAACAACCTGCACTGTTTAAAAACCGATCTTATCAATCTACAAATATGTAGGAAATAGCACATAATACAGATATTTACAACAGTTAAGTAAGTTACATTGTCACAAACAACAATATAGCTATAACCACATGATCTACAATAATACAAGAATTATTTCACAGAAAATAACAGTTTTAAAATATCGCCAGAAGTCGTCTTCTGGGTCAAAGTTCAGCCCAATCCCCAGTGCCAAACACCATCAACATTTTCCCAATTAAAGGCATAAAAACTACCAATTAGTTTGAAAAAGTACCACATCACAGTAACTACAATATCTTAAGTTTAACCAATCTCTTCTTTTACCCTCAAATTATCAATTTTATATACTTTTCACTGGTGGTGAGAACCATACATTGGTTCATTAACTTCACAGTTTTGCCTATTACAACACTCAATGTAAAGGAATGAATACAAAAACAAAGCATTAATGAAGGAAATTAAAGTTTTGATTTATGTTAGAAGTACAGTTCATGTTTAATAATTACAGGAATTGCAGTAATGAATTCTTTTGAGAGACCCTGTATTAGTTCATTCTAGGACTCAATGAATGAGGACTTCCTTCCTTCATTGTTTAAGAACCTCCCAACATGTTAATTCATTACAGGATCAAACTTTGCTGTCAATTCCACTGTAAATATTTCAAATTTCCAGGATGATTTAACTTATGAACAGTGCCAGAAAAGCTTGACTTTTCTTTGCCAAATGCATAAATATTATAATTACTCTATTAAATGTGTTCATCAGACGCTGTCATTCACTTTCAATTAGTGTGAGCTGTATTATCTGCTGTAGAAATCATTTTTAACTAGACTTCTAATTCCTTCTTTCTCATTAGGCATTCCATATATAAAATCCTTTGTGATAATATTCTTTTTTTTCTTCAATACATTGTCAGGAATGAAAACCATCACCAGTCATCTGCATTTTCTTGATGCCGAAAAAACATAACATCTGGTTTTAAGGAACATACCAACCCTGGATGTGGATCTTTCTTCAATACTGTTCCTTTTCCAAATTAGTTATCCTCTGAAGATCATCTTTCAGGTTGATATCAAAATAACTTGTACCAGTCCATGTCTTACAACCACAGCTGTACTGGTCATACCTTTTAAATACAACCACAACTGTACTGGTCATACCTTTTAAATACAACCACAACTGTACTGGTCATACCTTTAAATACAACCACAACTGTACTGGTCATACCTTTAACTAC